AATGCATCATCATGCATTTAAAAGTTTAATACTTCAATATAGTACAATCACGGTAATCCGCAGTGTTACACTTTCTCCCCCTCGTTGGGGATGTTTTATATAGTAAAGCCCTGTTTTATATTATTACATTACAATACAGGGCTAGGCTACAACTGGAACAATGTACACCGTATGTACGAGTATGTGTTGAGTGGGTTTACATTTTCATATAACTGGACTGGAATAATGTAAACAGTGCCATAAATACATTACACTATGTTACATATGTTTGTCCCTGGTATGTTTTTAAATTATTAGTCAGATTGCGATGAAACTTTAAGAACATTCAAAGATCGTTAGCAGGTTTCTAGTGATTTTGTTTTTATTACTTCATTTTGATAACTTTGATTTTTCTATTGCAATGAATGAAAGGATCACTTAGTATGTATTATATTTAAAAAGATTTTTTTTTGAAATATCCAAGTATTATCAAAATAAATATACCTTACCTTTATTATCTTCTTCTTTGGCAAGTTCAACAACTAAAGCTTTGTACTGGTCACTTAAAAGGAATGAGGAATAATATTTTTCTTGTATCGTATCCACTACGGTTTCCTGTACCTCGTAGAATACTTCTGGCCCTTTATCACCTAATAGGAAAGCCTCCATTCTTTTTCTGGTATCCTACAAATTAGATTTTATAAGAAAAAAAAAATCATAATAATATTATAAATGCGAAAGTTTAGATGGATGGATGTTTGTTAGAGTTTGTAGCCTAAACGGCTAAATAAATCTCAATGAAATTTGACATAGATGTAGAGTATAGTCTGGAAGAACATATTTTGTGTTTTTGTTATTTCACACGGACGGAATTGCAGGCGAAAGCTAGTATACTATAATACAAAACCTAAGGCGATTTTAATAAAAGATGATTCAATTTTTTATTAGTTATTATGTAGTTTTAATCTTAGACAAGAGTTAATAATAGGAATGTGGTGCAAATACTTGTTATATTTGCATTAATAGGCGATTTATGAAATCTTATCCGTTAAATCTTGATATGGAAATGTTCTCAAGAATATTTGAATAACATAGAATTTGTAATATTACTAAATCAAGTTATATAGCTGGGAAATTATAGTTGTTGTTATGTAAAAATAAAAAATCATCGCAAATTAATCGAGACTATTTCAAAGTTTGTAGCATAAACTGGATCTATTCTAATTACATTTTTTATAACAATGGACAAAGCTTCTCCAATCTTACTAATGCGAAAGTTTAGATGGATGGATGAATGGATGTTTGTTAGACTTTGTAGCCTAAACGGCTGAACATTCGATTAAAATTAGTTTTTTTTTGTTATTTAGTTTTTAGTACATATTTGTTTTTTTAATCCCATGCGGACGGAGTCGCGGGTGAAAGCTAGTACAGTTATAAATGACTAATTGATTGTATTTCAGTACACTATATTACTTCTTACTAATATTATAAATGCAAAAGTTAAGATGTATGGATGAATGTTTGTTAGAGTTTGTAGACTGAATGGATCTGGGTGAAATTTTCACAGGCTACTTGATTTTGTTTTTTTTTTACTTCCAGGCGAATAGAGTCGCGGGCGAACGCTAGTTTTAACATAATTCAATGGTTTATTAAAGGCGAAGACATTGTATCTTATAACCATTAAAAATCTTACCTTATCAACTTTAATTTCCGCACTAGGTGACCTAATATAAGTGTAAAATATCTCAGCTCCCAACTGATGCCAGCTGCTTCTAGCACTGTGCCGCAGCTCCTCCACCGCAGACCAGAACCCGACCAGCCCTTGAGAGCACATCGTCTCCAGGAACATAGACAGATGTCTGCGACCTGTCACACTCTCCATCACCTTGTGTAATGGGAGGGTCTGAAATGCAGACATATATTAAATCACTTATAATGCACAATTAATTACTGAAGACATGTTGGAAAGGAACAAAAATTATAAGATGACAACATCAAAGAAGCAAGGTTACCATGGTAACAGTAATTGTTCCAATGTCAAACTCATAGGCCTTCATTGTCATTTGTTATTGGGCATTTGAATTTTGACATTTGTAATTGAAAATTACATAAATATAAACAATAAAATAAGTTTTTATAATTTCATGTGGATGAAGCTGCACGAAAACAGCTAGTACATGCTATAATTGAGAAAATTTAGATGGATAGATGTTTGTGACTATCTCCAAAATGGCTTATCCATTTAATCCGATGTAGGGCACAGATGTAGAACATAATCTTATTAAGTGTTTTTTATTCCGCAAATGAAATCATGGTCAAATTTGAATAATTATGATTAGTATTTGAATAATGACCTGGACAGTAGCATAAAATTTGCTATTCTAGATTAAATATTGCAATATATTACAACAGTAACTACGCAGATTACGCGAGTCACTTCATTCAATTGTTAATATCAATAATTCAAGATTATAGCCGATATCTGTAATTTACAAGTTCGGTAAGGTCCTGACACACCTTTGCCTTGTTAATTTTTTGTTACTTTCACATACCTTACTATCAGATTCAACAGCGGGGAAAGCACCGTCCCAGCCAAGTTTCTTCAAGGCTTTTTCACATTCAACTTTAGCTATAGTCAGTTGGTTAATATATCTCTTGATATTCTTAGCTTCGGCCAGTTGTTGGCGGCTGATATTGTGCTGTGTGCTGCTTTTCTCAATTATATCCACATCTATACCTTTAGCACGTTTCATGTTTTGTAATGTAGTTGCTTGCATTATTTGTGTAACAATATCGTAACTGTAACATTTTTAATAAATTAAAATGGTTTTATTTCATGACATGATTTTTAAGCTATTTGAGCCTCTATCAACCAGTGCTGGGACAGGCCCGTAATAAAGTTAATCTTATATTATTGAGTACCAAAAAACGTTAGTCAGTAGTATACAACTACCATAATTATTTTTTATTTTTCTGTAGTTTGCGCAACTCACTGCTACCAAATTGGTTGCCTATACTAATATTATAAAGGGGAAAGATTTGTATTTTTGTACGTATTTGATTCACGTACAATTTACTAGGTCGATTTTAAAAAATATTTCACCATTAGCAAGGTAATTTATCTGTAAGTAATATAGGCTATAATTTTTATTATTTATTAATTTCACGCATACGTAATCACGAGAAACAGCTAGTATGTAAGAGGTGGAGTTTGTCTTTTTGCAAGAAACAACACAATTTTCTATAACTAGAGAACTGCGGGTTTCCGCGGCTGTACTTATCAGCAAAGTTTTTTAATCAGGTGGATTTAATTACATAGCAATTACATGCAATGAGTTATGTATATGTTTACATACCGTAACCGTTTCAGTGTGTCAACATTATTGCAACTGTTTATAAGTCTTATATAATCTTCAAATGTTTTTGCATACTCGTGTGTCCTCACATGCATTGCGTCTACTTCTTTCTGTGCCTCCAAATACTGTATTATCTTCTGATTTATGTAATCAGGCTCTGTGACTAGATTTATAGCTGGTTGCAAAACTGAAACATAAAAAAAATAAAGTAAATTCAAATAAACCACTACTATTAATTAAATAATGTCATTCATATAATGCATTTAATTTTCATTTTAGATTTTTTATGTAAAACTGCAGATCTTACATGAAAATACATTAAATCATGATTTCTAAAAGGAAAGATTTATATTTTTGTTTGTGTTGAAATAACTCAAAATCTACTGGGCACAATTAAAAAATTCTTACACCATAAAAAAGCTATGTTATCACTGAGTAACATAGGGCATATTTTTATTATTTTTTAATTGCACTGGGACAAAGTCATGAGCAATAGCTAATAATTAAATACAAAAGATCTTGTACATACTTTTGCAAGCCAATATTTCTCTGAGAAGGTGTGATACTGGTGTTAAGGAGTAGCATCGAGGCATTAGGAACATTATGATCAATTCGCTTATCTGACGCAGGTAATGCAATTCCATCTCACAGGACATCAAATGCGGTGCCAGGGCAAATACGGGAGGTTGGTTCAGTTCTATACTGCAAATAATTAATTAATAAATTACTATACATTTAAAAATAATGTTTAAGGCCTTTCCCATCAAATTGTAAATTGTCTATTGACAATTGAACATGTAAAATATGTGATAGAAATATAGAATTTCATTCATGTAT